AGAAGAAGGGAGAGAGAGATAGAAATATCAATGATGAGAGAGTCATTGATCGACTGCCTACCCTGCAACCCGGGCATGTGCCCTGACAGGGAATCGAACCCCGATCACCTGGATCCTAGGTCGACGCTCAACCGCTGAGCCACGCCAGGCTGGGCAGGAGATTTATTTGTTATAAGCACTATCATTACCTTATCTAAGGCAATAACACACGCTGACATCATCTCAGATTTTTCATTTGTTTTTGTTTCTGTTTTTCTTTATTCAGTTCTTCCCTTTTCTCCATAGAGATTTCCCCCATCACCCTCCCTATAATTAGCTGTAACTTTTTTCAGTTACTCAAATATTGAGCAATATTCCTTCTAATTCCTTGCTTCTAATTGGCTGTGCTCTAAGAAACCAGATAAGTGTGTTAGGACTCTGAACAAATGCTACAACACTCTAAGCCAAGCACATGAACTCTGTGATGCTGTTTTCGGCTGTTGTGAGATCTTGGGTGGCCCTTTGATATAGGATAGTTGCCTGATAAAGGACCAGTGACAAACCAATATGGAATTACATGTTAAATTTAGAATCAAGGGTGAAGTGCAACTGTTTGGCAGAGTGTGTGAATATTGTAATATTTTGAATTAGAGAAAATGACTACTTTGTTTCTCAGAGCTGGACAGCAAACTTTTGTGAGGAGACAGAGTTTCAAGAGTCCTATAGAAAGTACCCATCCTATTAAGCTATCTATTTGCTTTATAATTATTAAAATATCTAAATTAAGTATCTAAATATCTAGCCACTCATCACTATGGATATGATGAAGATTCAAGTTGCATAATAAATATTTGTTTTGAAATCTAATTAAATTTCACAGATGTCAAGAATGTTTCACTCTTTATTGAATTAAACATACACTATCTCTGCTGAAAACTAGGCTTGGTCCAAAAGGAGGCTAACATGCAATGGCATGGTATTGGTGGCAGAAAGTAGCTAGACATATCATAGACTTTGCAAATAGATCTTGGTCCCAGTTTTGCTGTGCATCATTATAGGATTTACTGAAATTTTCCAAGACCCAGTATCCTTATCCATAAAGTCGAGTCTAGCAGCACTGCCTGATTAAGTTGTGAGCACTAAGTGAGACATGCAAAACACTTAATCCAAAACAGTACAGTGGCAATAATCAAATAAAATTAGCCTATGTTCTTTTTCTTCTCTAATTTTACAGATAAATAATAATATACTAAATGCTCTTGGAGGACATAATAATCATTCATACCCTCATTTTCTATACAAATATTTGTGTGGCCAAGAGTCCAAATTTATATTTTTGATAATAAATCTATATTAATTAAAAAACAGTATTTCCCCCCCCCCCCTTTTTTTTTATAACACATTATCTTTCAACAGAAGTCTACTCTGGAACTGAGTCACCATCTTTCATCATAATTGAAGTAATAAAATATGCGAATCTAACCATATTCTTAAATATGAAAATGACTAAAGATAAGCCAGTGTGTTAGATATTTCAAGGCAACGCGGTGTGCTCAAGAGGGAAAATAGTCAACATAAATGTGAATAAACTATGATTTGGTTCATTTTTTTCTTTTACAAACTAGTTTTTCTTATGATTTTTTGGGAGGGTGTTCTTCCTTTCCCTTTCCATCTCTCTAAAATCAATAAGCGTGTCCTTGGATGAGAGCATAAAATAAACATGTAAAGTATTTGTCTGATAACCCTACCATCCCTGCCATCTTGGTGTTGGCATCTGCTGGTTGTCAGTTTTCATTTAGTTTGAAATCTTCCTGGTTCTTGGTATCATGACTGATTTTTTATTGAAATCTAGACATTTTTGTATTATATTATGAGACTATGGGTCGTATTTATTTTTTTTATTTTTAAATATATCTTTATTGATTTCAGAGAGAGGAAGGGAGAGGGAGAGAGAGAGATAGAAACATCAGTGATGAGAGAGTCATTGATCGGCTGCCTCCTGCACACCCCCGACTGGGGATGGAGCCCACAACCCGGGCACGTGCCCTGACCGGGAATCGAACCCTGATCTCCTGGATCCTAGGTTGACACTCAACCGCTGAGCCATGCCTGGCCGGGCTATGGGTCTTATTTAAAGGATGTATTTTAACTATGCCAACTTTCAATATCTAAATATTAAAACATAAATATACCTTTGTTTTAAATAGGAATAGTGCTTTTCTTTCTTTCTTTTTGCATAACAGTGACTAGGACAACATATATCTAATAATTGAAAGATGTCATAAATTCAATTTCTTTTTCTATTTCATTTTAAACTGGAATTTCTTAAACTGGATTATCATTATCTCCCTTTATAACAGACAACTGAGCCTTGAAAATATTTACAGACTTTAATTGCAAAGGAGATACACGTAGTTAAGTTGCTACTTTTACCCTTCACTGTTAGCTTTGCTTTGATATGAGAGACCCTGGAAGGTGACTCAACCAAAAAAGGGAAACAGTGACTCCAAGGTCAAGAGAGGTGATGGAGTTGGGAGGAGAGGATCTGAGAGCCTGAATCCACTGGGCACTAACCAGCTGAGTGACTCTAGATATTTAAACTGTTTGAGCCTATTTCCCCTGTCAGTTTCCTGATTTGCAGACCTCAGATGGAGGGTGTGAGGAGATGCACACAAACAGCTGACAGTGTCACACCAAATGTCAAGATGAGCTCCAGGGTTCCACTACTTTACGGTGGGTGTTCTTCAACTAAACCTACGTAAACAGCGATGGCAAATCTCAAGGGTCAGGTGAGCGGAAACCCACTTTGGAGGAAAATAATGCAGACGTCGGCTCATTTCTAGATTGAGTTTGTGCTTTCAGGTGGAATCCCTGAAACGTTATCTAACTCTTCCATATTTTTGACACTTATACCTGTGGAGGGCCCATGCCATATGATTTTAATGTAACAAAGCAGATGTGGGAAACACATATTGTTGGCCAGGCCGTGAACTAGATTCTAGATATGAAAAGATAAATTACAATTCACCCCTTAATCTCTTTGCACTGGGACAGTTGAGATGTTACCAGTACAACACAAAACTAATCCTGTCCATGAAAATAGATAATTTTATGATTATTTTCTTACAATACATGATCTCTCCTGCACAAGAAATCTAGATTTAAAATTTCTGATACATGATGTTTTATCTTTAAGAAAGAAAACTGTACCAAATGAAAGAAAATCACCCAAATAGAATCTGTAGGAAGTCAAATCACTAACCATCTCTTCATACGACTGCAAGCCTTTTAAGAAACAGATAATCACAAAACTCTTGGTTCTCCATGCAGCTATCATATGTTCTGATGTATTATACAAGTATCATTCTACATGTTTAATATAATTCAAAACATCTAACACCTATAAGGAGAAACTGCTGTGTGTTTGCCTCCTTACAGAGAAATTTGCACTGGGACGGTCCGGGTCTTTATTAAGATGCAATGTTATAAAATTCTAGATATTTACATGGAAAGGAAATAAAACATTAAGAAGCATTTTCTTTTTCCACTTAATGGAGGGAACACCAAAGGGCCCTTTTAAGGCTCTGGAAGGGCCACATAAATCTCCAAAAGAGGTAGTAATGTATTAAACAAAGGATAACACCAACCGCAAGGAAAAAAGAAAAATCATAGAGCCAGGGAGAAAATACACTTCCAGGCTGGGAAGCTCTTAAAAGTCCTGAGCCAGGAAACCTCCCTCCCGCACCAGGCAGGGGATGTCTTTGGCTCTCCAGTGACTCCCCGCTAAGTTCCCCTCAAGTTTTCCCTCCCTCTGTCCTCCATTCTCTGCCTCAGTCCCCAACCGTGAGGCCGCAGGAGGATGCCAGCATCTATACCTGAAATTGCCAGACACAATCAGACTCGGAGGCATGTTTATTTTAAATGCCCCCCCGCCCCCGCACCTAAAATAGGCCACATTTGTAGGCAAAGCCTAGGGATTTCAAACGACGCCCGGAAGCTCATCTTACAAATTGGGGGCCAAGCGCATAAAAGAACAATAGTAACCTGCAGCCAAGAGCACGTTCCTTCGCGCGGAGCGGTTCGCGGGGGGCGCGCGGGCCTGCGTGGGGGCCGGGCGCCC